GTCGTAAATAGCGGTCCACATTCACATACCACTAGACGCCTATCTTCATTCAATATAACCGCCGCTAGTTACGACACAGGTCGCAAGGCAAGATCTGCTGGTGGCTTGTTGTGTGATATGAAATACAAAAACTTCTCATCATATTCCTTGTGGATATTATCGACGTATTAAACTGATTCATCTTCATAACCAGAGGACGATTGAATTCGACGCGTTTCTATGTGCTTCTTCCAAATTTTTCCATAAATTCATCGCTTCGGTCATATCCTGCGATTCAGTTAGCCAAAACCAACTCCTTTCTTCCATCATCGGCTCTTTACCAGCATCGAACAACGCTATGTTATCGAATACAACACCAATTTTGTGACTCAAATGACCTGTGATAAAGTAGTCATCGATCTGCAACGGTTCAACAAAATAATTCCTTAAAGATGAGTTTTGAAGTTGAATGTGAAACGTCAGAAATTGAATGATTTCAGACATAGCATACTTTTTGGTGCATATTTTTGCTTGTGTTACATTTCTTTGGTACATAATGATTTCCGATATGATATGTAGGTTTCGACGGTAGCATCTTTTCAAAGGATTCCATCTCAAGTATTTCAAATTCAGGGGAAAAACCAGGAATCTTGTCGCAAAAATCAACTGAGTACAGAGAGACATCATTTCAGGGTGAACATCCCAATTTGTTTGCAAATTATGAGTACACTTCTCACCCAAAAGTATTTCTCTCCAATTGATGCCTTCAACAAGTTCACAGCAGTCTTTCGTGACATCAAATACAGTATTCCATGGCAGTACGGATAGTAAAAAGTACGGATTGCATCAAATTTGATATTTTAGAAGGACCATGCTATAAAAGAGACCAAATTTTTGGATCAATCAATGTTGAATGATATTAACGTAAATAAAACAGCGGTTAGCAACATTGTTTTGCCAAATAATTTCTCAACTGTAAAATTTTTCTCTCCAATAATGACTAAAATATTGATGCAAGAGAACGAGTTACCATTTGGTACCATTATCTCTGATTGGATAAAGATGAAAACCAGAAAATACACTGCAAAGTATCATGTTTGCATTCGCATTAGCTTCATCTGATAATGGTGACTTCACTCTTAAATATTTCTCGATCGCTATTAAATCGAACATCAAATCGTCATCTATCTTCACAATAAATTCCACGTTCTCACAAAATTCATTCACATACCGCAGCCACGCGATCGCCTAAACAATGATCGCTACACGCTACATTTCGATCGCTGAAGAATTTTATCTTTTCGCAGTCAATTTGCAGATAATTCTCTGATGCGTAATGCAGACCTTTTAATGCCAAACCGTAGTTTTCGCTGGCAGAATGTTCGTTGAGTCCATGAGTCTTATTTTGGTTGTTTTAGAAGTCCTATTTCATAGTGTTGGTTATAGGTTCACTGGAAATTGATCACATCTCTAAGAGAGCTGAATTTTTTTCAAACTTACCTTCCATGTTAAATTTCTGTACGTATCAAGAAAATCCTGTTGAATGATATCATGATAAGTTTGGCTTTCGTTATGTATTTGTAACTGTTCTTTTTCATCGGATGGCATTCCAAGAAAAAATAATGTCACAACGTCCATCTGCAAAACAATTTACGTTCAACTATTACTCTATTATACTTTTCATATGCAACTGAAACGACAGAAGTAACACCTGTCGGTATCCGGTCGATCTGACTAGGATATTTTACCTAACTTAAGTTTTGCCTTTTGGACATTATGCTTAACGCGCGTGCGAGATTGTCAGACCCGCCTGTTCAGAAGATCTTACGGAACGCATAAGCCTGAGGCAAAGCTCAATCTCAAGTCTAAGCCCAAACCTGAGCATAAGCTTAAGGCTAAGCCTAAGCCGTAGCGTAAGTCTAAGCCTAAGCTGCGAGATGAACATCCCCAAGATCTTCTAAATATGCGGGTCTAACAATCTCGCACGCGCATTAGACAGAATGTCTGTTAGGCAAAGTGTCGTTAGACAAAATGTCTTCAGACAGATTGACCGCTCACGATACCCATCGCATCAATAGA